ATTCTATTCTATTCTATTCTATTCTATTCTATTCTATTCTATTCTATTCTATTCTATTCTATTCTATTCCATTCCATTCCATTCCATTCTAAATTAAATGAATAAATGAGTAAATAAATAAACAAATATCCTATTAACATCTGTAAGCATCACATTTTTCCAAGAAAATTAATTCTGCACCCAATAGTCTGATTTTGTGCCACTGTGCTTCATGGGGTCCTCAGGCAGGACCATAATGGTCAAGTTGATCCCTGCAATCAAGCAAATAAAACTCCACCCCTTTTTGCATACTTCATATGTAAAACGAACGGTGAAAAGAGTGGTTCAAAGTCCTTATAGTGTCAACAGGGAATATAAGTGATAAACATATGCAAATTTATGGAGATTATCAGTCATCCAGGTCAGGGTTATCCCAAAGGTGCTTTTTCAAGAGGCAACTGGACTTTCTGTTTTTTCTTTGAAGATGTTTCAAGAGAAGCTGAAGAAACATCATCAAAGAAAAACCAGAAAGTCCAGTTGCCTCTTGAAAAAGCACCTTTGGGATATGCACTGCACTCAAATCCTATGACAATCATGCATTCCAAGCAACTAAGGTGCTTTTCACACATACGTTGTTATTGAGCTTTTAAGCATCCCTGGTGTTACCATGCGGATTCATGTGACTTCAACATAATTGATTCTGTGGAAGTCCTGTTCTGTTCTTACCTTTGAATTGTCTTGTTCCTGGCTCATACATCTGACAGAATATGTAATTTGCAAGTAAATGTCTGTCTTGGGAAGAAAGGGAATTGATTTTTTTAAAAATCAATTTTTGGCTGCTAAATAGATTTTCTCCATGTGCACAATGGAGAAACACAAAACAAGCTCTGGATGGGTTGTGCTTTAGAATCAAAGATAAAAATAATCCTCTCAGGTTCTCTAAATAACTCTTCAAAAAAGAAAATTGGAGAAGCGGATGATGTTGAAGAAATGGGTAAGTATGAATCATGAGGGTGAGATAATTTTTTTCTTAGTCATAATTGCATCTGGGGCTGGGGTTGCTGTCGGTGGGCTCTTTTCAATAAAAAAGAATTATTAATACAGATAGGCCTCAGTTTAGGAATATTTCTTTAATGCCTGTTCAGTTACAATGGCACTGAAAAAAAGTGACTTAAATTGGTCCCTTGCACCTGATACAATATTGTGCGGTCACATGATCACAGTTTGGACACTTGGCAACCAGCATTTATTTACAATGGTTGCAGTGTCACATGATCACCAGTGGTGAGATTCAAATTTTTTTGCTACCAGTTCTGTGGGCGTGGCTTGATGGCGTAACAGGGGAAGGTTATTGCAAAATCTCATTCCCTCCCCACCCCACTAACCTGCTTTCCAGGTTCCTTCTCCTGTGCAGGGCAACAAAAATAGACCCAGCCGATCAGCTGGGACTCGGGAGGAAGAGACTAGATGGGGGCGGGGCCAGTCAGAGGTGGTATTTGCTGGTTCTCCCAACTGCTCAAAATTTCTGCTGCTGGTTCTCTAGAACTGGTCAGAACCTGCTGAATGCTACCTCTGATGATCACCAATTGTGACTTTCTTGGCTGGCTTCTGACAAGCAAAATCAATGGGGGGAGTTGGACTCAACAACCACGTGATTCATTTAATGGCCCCAGTGATTTGCTTAATGGCCATGGCAAAAAAAGATGTAAAATCAAATGTGACTCAATTAATGACTGCATTCCAGTTCCAACTATGCTTATAAGTTGAGGACTACCTGTATGTCGGGTTTCAGCTGAGGTACAATTGAGCAGTATGGTAATTTAATTCAACTTTTTCGAAAAAGAATTTAGTTAGATGCCTGGTGTTCCTGGATTCTCTTGGATGAAGATATGTTTGTCAGCCAAAGATGTCTACATGGGAATAAGGGATGTGTAGAACCATGAGTTTAACATTACACTCAGGATCTTTTATTGGGTTAAACTGGACAGATTTTTAGGAAATGGGCTAAGATTTTAACTTGGCTTTAATGGCATGCCCTGATACCTACTTATGAATTAATGAAATGTGAACAAATGCAAACATTTCTCCCTGAGCTCTAAGGTGCAGCTTTAAATTTAGACAGCGTGACCCAGATGTAAAGAGCCTCATACTATGTAAAACGACATGTAAAGAGCCATTGGGTCCTTTGAGGTTTCACGAAATGATCTTTCCATCAAGGATCCCTCGGCTAACTTTCCAAGGAATGCCACAGATTCCTGGAGCTTAAAATGAAATGCCAGCAGTATAGACAATGGGCTGTTTCCATAGTGTTTAAAAACTGGCTGGGAGCTCTCAGGAAGGTGGGTGAAAGCCAAGGAAAGCATAATAAAGTGAAAGCTGTGGAAAAATCAGTCAGGATGGTCCGAGTATGAGAAAGGTTGGCTCAGTTTGCAGCAAGGCCTCCACGCTAGACCAAGGTAGAGGCCAGAATGAGGGAAGAGTGATTTTGCTTCCTATAGAAACTAAAGCCAGAGGAGAAAAAGAAAAGAAAACAAAGTTCAGTTGCCTCTTGAAAAAAGCATCTTTGGGATAATCATGATCTGTTGAAAAATCTCCATAGACGTAAAGCCAGAGGAGTTTCTAGTTCTGCCCACATACAGGAAAATATCATATCCTGGAAAATTGCTACGTCATTTTTTTTCCTTAACTTTTGAAGAGGTTAGTTCTACATAGTTCTAGTTTGCCAGCAAAAGAAATCCCTCTTCCATAGGCCATGTGAGATCACAGGATACTGTTGTAACAACCTATAACAGCAACATAGGAGTTGTGGGTCCTTGGTGCTCTCTGAGCTTGTTTTCTTGCGGACGTTTTGTTATCCAAACTAGGTATCACCCAGGGGTGGGCTTCAAAAATTTTAGCAAAGGGTTCTGTGGTGGTCTGACATTTGAAATGAGACGCAGGGAAAACGTCTGAGCAAATGCCAGCCCTGAGTAGACCCAGGTACCAGCTTTTATTGAGAACAAAATGCATATACAGAAAACAAGTGACCTCAACAGGATGTTATTTCCACAGGATATATAGGATGAGAATAAACAGGATGAGAATATACATCTGCGGAAATTCCCATGGGAATGGCTCAGCCATATACTATGACCTTTCACCGACATATTTGGTCCCCTAAGCTTTGCAGGTCATAACAGGACAAAAACACCCATAGCAGGCGGAAATGCCCCCCCACCAGGGGCATTTTTTAGTCCCTAGATCTATGCAAAGCTATACAAGGACTTGCAGAATAAAATATATTACCACAGGTTCTCTGCCCGGTTGCTGGGTGGGCGTGGCCTAGTTGGCCTCCTGCACCACGGTGGTGGGGGTGTTTTTGCCCTCCCTGGGCTCCGGTGACTTTTCTCGAGCCTCTGGGAGGGCGAAAACGGCCTCCCTGGGCTCCGAAGGCTCTCTGGAACACGAAGACTAGTAACAATATTAGTTGGAGATGCAGGTAAAAAAAGTCATCCTGTATTTCATTTTTTTTTACTAATCTTGTGACTTCTTGGAATCAAATGGTGTTTTGTGTCAGAGGTAGATAAACTTGGAATTGGGAAAGTGATGGCAGAAATGTTTGCATATTGATGGGCCAAGTAAGTGCATGCTAAGTTTTTAAACGAGGGGAACAGAGACAGGTTACAAGCAGAAATACACAAAAAAAATATCACTCACAAAACTTATAGTGTTAGGTCGTGTAAAGAAGAACATTGTCATTTTGGTATTTTAAAGTTCTTCAAAGAAGCCACAGCTTTAAAACAAAAGTCCTGTTTCCATTTTCAGAAAGGAGAGAACAATTCAATTCCACTTTGATGTTGATGCCTGGTACCCTCAGCAGATTCCAGCTATGGGCCCCCACGTTCCTGGAAGAATGACTTTGAGAAAGGGCCACTATATTGCAGACGGACTTTGTACGGCAAGTAAAATAACTGTTTTTGAATGTGACATATGCATTATTTTATGTAAAGTACATATGTACTTATATATTCATTTTTGTAAGTATATAGGAAAGTCTTAGTGTCAGTCCAAAGGAACGACACACAAGAATAAATGAAGGTAACTGAGAAGTTCAGAAACTTTTCTTGAACCGAATAAAATGGAATGCTAATTTAGCCCATCCATTAGTATTGAAGCCACATTCCTTGTGACCCCAAGATTTCATGTCTCAGAATCACAAGTTGGAAGGAGCTATTTTGGCCACCAATTCCAATACAATCTCAGTGCAGAAATCCAAATTAAATATGTCTGCTATACTCTCACCAGTTATAAATGCTGTTTAAATAGCCCTGTTAGAATCAGAATGAAATTGGTCTTCATTTTCACAAGGTTACTATAAGCTCTGGATATGTAACGGAGAGCATTGCTGGCTTGTGGCAAAGCACTAAAGGAATTGAACGCCACAACCAGCTCAGCTGTAGCAATAGACATGTTTTGGAGCTTCACATGGGAGATTCTACATTGGCTGTTGCTGTGTCCCCTGATACGGGGACTAAATCAGTTCATTTATAATACAGCTAAATAAGTGGATAATTAAACTTGTTATTCTTTGCTGTACTACAGATGGTGTTTGAGGTCAACTGCTAAGCATTTACTTTAAAATGTAGCCTAAAATACAATATAAACTTAGAGGGATTTTCCCATTACATACATTTAGGTAAATGTCTCCACAATGTGCTGTGGACAAAAATATCCTTCCCTTATGTTCCATTGGAAGATGAGATTTTAGAAAAATATATATGACCTTCTGAATTTGTGTCTTCTAGTTACTAGTTTAGGAAATGCAATTCTGCAGCATTTGGGAAACAGGTAAGCAGTACTGATATTAAATAATTCTAATCAACATACTTAATCGGTTGTAAAAATTATTTATTATATCCTTTTTTTCAAATTCTATCCAACATTAGTAATATTGTACAAATAATAGCTGTCAAATCATAACATCCCCTATAAAATGCACCCCTATATTAGGACCTCAGTAAAATAGAAAATTCAACCAAAAAATATAAATACAAAGCCAAAATGAAATATACTAAATACAAACACTGGAAGTTTAAGTAAGTACCCACAACTTGCAGAAATATACAGATTTTATACATAATTACAATTCATAAGTCAGTAGCCTGCTGAATGAACTGAATATATTACTTACAGTTTGAATTAATATTTTTATTATCTTACTTTCTGTAGCATTGCTGGTGAATGCATAGTCAACAATCACAAACTCCTGTTTCATAATTCTTCATTTTTGAATGATTACATTACCTATCAAATTACATTGAGAATTGTAGCCTTTGTTTTTGGCTGGCATGACTTTTTCCAAAAGTGGCTGTCAAATCAATGTCCAATTTTAAAAAAAATATGATTAGAAATAATTAAATGGTGATTTACTGATGATAAAAATAATTAAACGTTAAGAAAAACAAACAAAAATGGGTAGAACTGTTATTGAAGCAATTTGTTCTTTCCATAATCCTTAAGAGTGCCCTTTGCTTAGAGTTCTTCTGAGCAGGAAAAAAGCAGCAAACATATGACCAGGAAGAATATAATGGAAATTATTCTGCAGGCATTACTGAGTGGTGTTTCATCCTGGGTAAAAGTAAAAGTCCACAAAGCTCCATCCTTTATTCTATTGTGACACTGGCAAAGCAACATTTACTGGGACCTGACTGGGCTGAGGTGCTGGAGAAATGTTGCTGATCGACTGCTGAGGAACAGAAGCTGCCTCCATCTTGCTGATGTGTATGAAACGCAGACGAAGTTTCAAAGCTGGCCTTAAATTGCAAATGATTTTCTCAACCTTTAATATAAAGAAAAAAAGGTGAAAGAAATGTCACTACAAATTATGCAGTTATTAGCATTAGCTTGGTTTTTATCCTGCTTGTCCTTGAAGGCTCAGGGTTTTAGGAAGTTATTAGATCTCTAAGGCATCAGGATGGCAATAATAGCCAAATACAAAATCCAAGGCCTACAATTCTATTTTTAAAACGGGGACAGAGAAACAAAGGTTAAGAACGTCTAACGAATTATAAAATGCAAACATCCACCCCACTTCCAAAACCACCATTGTGCATTTATTCCCTAAGACATTTATTTCTGACCTCAGTTCTCAAACAGCTAGTAGTCCTATCTCATTTTCAATTTAAATTGATTTCTAGTCTGAAACAGTTTAAATGGCAATATAATAAAGATGGTAGCAGGGAGTCTTCCAAAATTCATTAATACTAATTCTAATTAAAGTGGCCTATTGACATTAAAAGGGCAGGATATTAAAAAAACAAAAACCTAACAAAGAAAATTACATTAAAAGTGTTAAAAGCTTCACACTTGATTCAAAGTGTCTAATATATTTTTCTGTATAAAATCTGAAGAGGTGAAAAAATCTTCAGTTGGTTTCTTCTTATTCACAGAGCAGGCCTTCTCCTGTGGAATTTTCATTTGTTGACCTCAGATGGGAAAGCAAATAAAACTTCAATTCTACTCCAAAGTATTATTTTTCTTGTCAGAAACTCACTTACTTGGTCCTTCACACTGTCTCCAGTAAACATATACTTCACATGATATAGAAAATCACAGATGGGATCCATGTAGCTGAGGTGCATGTTGCATTGATCCACTTCCAGAAGCATTTCATAAAAGGCTACTCCAATCTATTTCCAGATACAAACACAAAAAGTACTGAAAACACGTAATTTCCCTCCCCCACCGCCCCAATGTTGGGTCAGTTCAATTTTATTTTTAAATTCCAACATTCATACTATAAAGTTAAATATTATAATACTATAAATATTATGATTATATTTTCCAAGTTTTTCATTACTTTCTATAAAATTATTAAGAAATTGACAATAAAACATTTAGTATTTATATCCCAAGGGAGAAAAAGGAAAAAATAATAATAAAGAAATAAATGAAGAGGAAAAACATAATGACCTCTATATGCAAAAATATTATTAATAATATGTCAAAAATCAGTTATAAGATGGATTTTCATAAGAGTTAATACATAACTAAATGTTTTGGGTAAAGTGTATTGCATAACTACTGTTAGATAATATTTGTGGATTAAGATTACAGGCCATATTTTGTCACACAATCATAATATTAGCTGTCAAAACATATTACTATAAACCCATGGAGCTTTAAAAGAAAAGATGGCATAGGCTACTAAACTGGATAGTGGTTTATCAGAAGTAAGTTATCAATTGTACTAGTATAATAATTCCATAAAAGATCAGCATTCTGCATTAGAAAGTTATTATCAAAATGGTTGGATGATAAAAAAAAGTACCTGCAGCAAAAACAACATGTACATTTTTGTCCTGAAAATAAAATCTCTTTATAGCAAGTCTATAAAGAGTACTTAGGTGAAAATGTGAACATGGTAAAAAATAACTGAGCAAGCATTTTGTGCATTCTCAGAATGCTAAGGTAAAAACCTACACAAAAATTCCTCCCTGTTTTCAGAGAGAGCTTGAAATCAGCTATGTTTAGCTATCTATGCTGAAGTGTAATGAGTTTTTTGACACTCAGAATGTCCTTGAGAATTTATTTTTAAAACTTTTTTTATTATGTTTGAAGAAATGAGATAATGAATGCTGAAATCGAAGGTCCTATTTTTGTTTTTGCTTTTATTTTATTTTTGATGCAAACTGCCTTTTGGCTTCTCTGACAATTCCTGGGAGAAATTAGTAGCCTTCTTGCAATAAGAAGTCATTAAATCAGCAACACGATAGCAAAAAGAAAGGAGACCCTTAGGATATCCTAAGTTTACTTAAATAATATGGACTGATCTTAATTTCATAGTAGAAATACGCTAAGAAAGTAGTGTTTAATTTTACTAAAGAAGAAGATACAGCAGAAGTTTACCACAGAAAGTTCATCGCAGAAAAAAACAGCTCTGCAGAAATGTCAGTAAAAGAATACAAATATTTCTTCACTAAGTCAATTCTACTTGGAAGTTTATAAAAACAATCTTGTAATCTTGCTCCAAAATTTCTGGCCCATTATTTTGCAAAATCTAAACACTGCAGGTGTGTGTGTGTGTGTGTGTGTGTATGTGTGTGTGTGTGAACCTACCTCTAGCATACATCTTGTCCTCTCTTGCTGGAACCGCTGTAGAAATGGGCCAACAAGATGATAGACATAAAGGAGCTGGAATTCAGTCTTAACTATTGGAATCAACACTTCAGTGAGAAACCTGTAATATTTCATAAGGTATAATAAATTAAATCCTCAAAAATGAAAGTAACTGAAAATAATTAAGATTATATATTTTTGAAAACTCCTAAATTCTGTCAAGACTCAATTATTACTGATAGCAATAGGATGCAAATAATTAAATGTGACTATAATTGGTATTTAATAGGAGCTTGATATGAAGATGGGATCTATCTGAAGCACATACAAACTACCAAAGATGATACTCAACAATTGCAGATTTCGGCCATTAATACCTACTTTGGAATGAGGGAAAGCTGGCCTATGCTCGAATGGTGCCAGACAGCATGTGCCAATGCTAATGTGTAGCTACAGCACATCTCGGAGTAAGACTGGTGACAAGCCGTGAAGTCAAACAGCTGGAATGGATACCCCACCCATTCAGTCTCTGAAGTCAAACTAGGGCTGTTGATAACACTCACAATCCGTTCATGGAGGACAATCCAGTAGGGCTCCTTCGAAAACAAAACCAGCCCCACAGCACAGATTAGAGAGCTTTCAGCTAGCATGTGTATAACCTCAAACAGAAACCTCAAGCACAAGATGTAGTTTCAAGCTATCATATTTTTCCCGAAAGCGATCACTCTGCTAAACAAATAATTCTCTCAATACTGTTCAACTATTACAAAGTCTGCACAACTATTACTGTTAATCTTCTCAACACTCCTTATCACCCATCCCCTCCCAGTTGTGATTGTAGGACTGTAACTTTGTCACTTGTATCCTTACGATTTAAATTGACTGTTTCCTAGTATGATTTGGTTGTTGATTGTACCCTATGACTATCATTAAGTGTTATACGTTATGATTCTTGATTCTTAACGAATGTATCTTTTTTTTATATATACTGAGAGTATTTACACCAAGACAAATTCCTTGTGTATCCAATCACACTTGGACAGTATTCTATTCTATTCTATTCTATTCTATTCTATTCTATTCTATTCTA